TGGCGCCCAGACACCCCCCCACCCCACCGCCGCCGCCCCCTCCCCGCGCCTGACCCGTGTGTTTCTCCCCTTTGCAGTGGGCCAGTGCGGGAACCAGGTGGGCTGCCGCTTCTGGGACCTGGCGCTGCGGGAGCACGCCGCCGTCAACAAGGTAACGGCGCCGCTTCCCCCCTCGCCTCCGGCCGTTGGTGGCCTGAGGGCAGCGGAGCAGCGGTTGGGGCGAGCCGCCTTCCTCACTCGCCATGGGGAGGCCACGGTGGCCCTCGCTTCGTTTCGTGTTCTTTCCTGTGACTGCAAAGCACTGCAAAGCACTGTGTTTATTTGACTATATTAAGGACACTTCATTACGAACAAAACTATCCCCGAGTTTTTATGTAGTTTAACTAAACATCTCTAATTCAGACCAGCTTTCTCTAGCCTTTCCACCTTGAAAAGCCCAGGATGTCTCCTTAAAGACAGACGTTACCAGGTTTGAGGCAGTTACTGAAAAGAGAGGGTGGTTCAGTGCAGTACTTGGCAGTAAAGCAAGCCCACCTTTCTTTGCCATGTTAGCAAATGCCGTGCAGTTACTTACAGTTGTCCTGACCAAAATAGCAGCGTAAAGAGAGCATAGGATGGTGCTGAGTACCCTGAACAATAATGCGCTCTTCTTGCTGTGACTATAAAGATACTATTTCCTGGTAAGCACTGCATGTTAACAGGTAATGATGAGCAGTCCTTCTCAATGCCTCAGTGATGAAGTTCATATGTATATGGAGAGTCTCTTGGCTTTAGTGTTGTAGGGAACAGTGGCTTCCAAATTCCACTTCATCAGGTCTTTAGAAGTACAGTAAGCAGTCTGTAAAGTAATAGTGTTAAAGTATTTAAATTTGCCAGGTCTCTTTAGCTTTATGGTGGGGTAAGTAATTTCCACACCACCCCTCAGCGGGGAGTTTAGGAATCACTGATACAGTGTGATGTGCTTTCCTTTCCACAGAACTTCATGGACATTGGTATCATGGGTGTGGAGCCCATGATTGAACTGAGTGTTGTATCAGTGATGACCTGAGTCAGCTAAACAGCGGCTATTCGATTTAATAATTGCACTGGGATCTTCAACAAAATCCCGAATCTTTAAAAATTAAGGAAGAGTAGTTGTTTAATCTTGTGCTGAAAAATTAATTTCCTAGTTCCACCCTTCTGCCAGTTTTTAATATCATGCTGATGCTTCAATGAAATGTCCTTTTTAGTGCTGACTAGAGCTAGTTGGATTCAACATAGACGTTCACTCTGTTTTGAGGGGGGAGGTTTGAGAGGTGACCTTCAGAGGTTCCAACTTAAATTATTCTATGAAAAAGCACTGAGATTCTGATGTTACACATCATCTTATGTTGTGTTGTTTCCTTTTAGAAAGGAATTTATGATGAAGCATTAAGCAGTTTCTTTAGGAACGTGGATACAAGGTAAGGCTTCTTATCAAGCAGCTCATGAGTTTAACACGGTAGATCAACAATTCTAGTATCTCTTCTTAACCTAAGTTACAGTTTTCTTTGTTTCAGGTCATGTTTAGTTTGTGATAGAAAAAGATTTTTCTTTTTTGTATTCTCCTCAAAACACTTACTTCAGTAGTTAAAAAGCTTCTTTGAGTGAGAGGGTGGAAGATCCTTGAGGAATCCAGTGCAGCCTCATACTCTCTCTCTTCCCCTCGTTCCTGATGGGACTGAGCATGGTCAGAACATTTGGTGCTGTAGGGAATTTCAGCTGATGTTTTGGAATATTATTGTGGTTGAATGTAGAACAGTCGAAGAGATACTTCAAATTTAGGCTTAACCAACCCCTAAATTAGGTAAATAATTGAGGGGAAAATTAGATCCATCTTCCAGTATCCCTGCCTTTTTTTCCTGTGTTGAATATAGCTTGACCAGACTGGAGTATCTTATCCTTTGAGTGCAGAAGCACCAGCATTCACTGTGGGAAGAAATGTGATTGTACACAATGCATAGTCCCCTAGGTTGGCTCAGTACAACCAGTCCTGGAGAAAAGGAAAATTAAGCTGTGTCAGCCCAGCATGATTTCTGAACTGATAAATCTTAACAGCAAAATAGGGCAAGCACAGTGCTGTGCTAGTGCAGTTATACTGCTTTCATACCTCGAGCAGTAGTACAGTGCTGTACTACCCCCATTGAAAAGCTAGTGGTGCTGTTTGGTGCGCCGTGTTCCATTATATGTTGCAGACATACCACGTGCTGGATAAAAGAGAATCCATTCAAGTTTTGGCTATGCTTGTAGAATTACCACAGAGCAAAGGCTGTATCTGAGATTAAACTTTCAATGCTCACTTTTCAGCTTCCTGAAGTACTGCTTAAGATATTTCTGATTGAGATCGTGTCTTGTAATTGCATAACTTTAGGGAATTATGAGGTCTTTCTTAGCAGCATGTTCAGGGTGTTTCTGTTTGTTTACATTGTAACAGTCCTCTGAACACTGAAGATTAAGGGGGGAATTTTATTCTAATATATATTGCCTTATTTTCTATTACGATTCTGAGCTTGGATTTTTTCTTTTTTTTCCAGAAGTGGTGGTGATGGTCCTGATATTTACAAAGGAAAAATCTGCTCTTTAAAAGCACGAGTAAGGCAATCTATTAATATCATTCTTTTTAGATTGCATATTTATGTCCAACTGTGTAGGAATTTTCATAAGGTCCTTACAATTGCATATGTTTTTAAATACTACTTTGAATAGTAAAATTTCTAATAGTAACTTATATGGTTCAGTGGAGTCATGCAGTTTGCTGCCAGTCTTGTTGAGTAATTTAAATTATAATTGCAATAAATGATTGCAGATATTACCAACGATGTTTTTATTTTAATTTTCTAAGGAGTGGGGTTTTTTAAGCCACTTTAAGTGATTAAAAAGCAAGAAAACTTGAAAAATAAAAATGTTTTAATTTCTTTACTCCTAAGTATTGGGGCAAAATATGATATTTTAACAAAATTGCATTATCTGAAATGCTGTCCTGTTGAACGACTTCTGGCAAATCAGCCAAGGCAAATCTAATTGGTCTCCAAATTAACAATTAAAAAAAAAGTTTCTTTGGATCACAGTAGAAACAACATACCTTTTATATTGTAAATAATTTTATATTTCTTTGTGTGATCATTTTGAAGAATGGTTTGCTTACTGGCTGAATTTTAATTCTTTCCTTTCTCAAAGGCACTGTTGATTGACATGGAGGAGGGTGTGGTAAATGAAATTCTGCAGGGACCATTGCGGGATGTGTTTGATAGCAAGCAGCTTATCACAGATGTTTCTGGTTCGGGAAACAACTGGTGAGAACCTCTTCAGAAAGCATTTCTTAGCAACTAATTAGATGGTATTTGAAAAGGGAAATGATAACAGTAGCTTTCTGGTTCGTACTACTGCACCTGGGGAGCTGCAGCATATTACCCGTAAACTTTGGAGTCACTGTTGCCTGGAGGAGGGCTTTGAAAAGCCTTTTACGGAAGGATAATTCTGCTGATAAATCATTTTGTCTATTTTTTCCTTCCTCTTTTTTTATTTTCTTTTTCAAAGGAACATGCTTTTTATTTTTGTTTCTTTGGTATTCAGCTGCTTCCATTGCTCAGTTGAAGCCATAATCTCGTTTGAGACTGTGCAGCTAGTGTGGAAATTAGATCTATGAACAAATGCACTTCTGATTTCTAAGCACCACAGAGTCTGGCTTTGCCCATATAAACTGCATTACCAAAAAGAGAAATTCAGAAAAAGATTGATTAACATAATGAATTTCAAATTTTCGCCGAGACCTTAATGCACCTCTAATATTCAGTGTGCTACAGACTGGAAAGCAAGTGTACCAAAAGAGAATGCAATATAGGGAATAAAGCATCCTGTAACTTCACCATCTAGCAGGCAAGTGTGTTGAAAATGAGCTGATTGGGGGTTTTTCTATTACTGCTAGAAACTGACTTGCATAAAACTCGAATGAAGATCAGTACACATATTACATAGGGATATCCTTGTTGTTAAGGAGTTTATAACTTTCATTTCATAATTACAATTCGATCATCCAATGTGGGAGTTTATTTCCTTATCGGTACAAAATAGTAGTGCACACTCCAAAGCTGTGAACTTAGTCCTGCTTGCATCCTCAAAATTAAAACCATATCCTGACTCCCATATTCACATAATGTGGTCACTGCTTAGCAACTCTCACAAATTAGGGGTTGCACCCAGCTCTGGACTCTGAACTGCAAAATGTCAAATAGGAGAAGTTTAAAAAAAAAAAAAAAATGAAAGCTTGATTGTTGGATTTTTTTTTTAAAGTACTTTTCATATATTCATATCTCCAGGGCTGTGGGTCACAAGCTGTATGGCTATCAGTACCAGGAAGACATTGTGGAAAAGCTGAGGAGAACCGCAGAACATTGTGACTGTCTACAGTGTTTTTTTATAATTCATTCTATGGGAGGTGGTAAGTATTTTTTTTATGGTTAGTATGATTGCACCAGCCACAGGTGAAAAAGAAAAATCTGGATCTTGGAAGGAAGGTCTAATAATCTACATCATTCAGAATGCAGAATAAAAAACTTAACACAGTCCAATTAAGTGGACCTGTAATTATTTATTATTTGTTTTGTTAGAGCACTGAGGAGCCCTAATCATGAATTAAGGTAAGTGCTACCCAGAAAGAAATACAGCTAAAATTTTAAATACGAGGCAGTGGGTGGATCAAGACAGGTACCAAATGCAAGGAAACACTGAGGTATTACTGATGAGAAGAAGGGATGGTGACCTCAGAACACTGACATCA